GTTGGGATGCTCAGATAAGACTCCACAAACTGTCTTAAATTGCTGCTGAGTTTTCCCCAGGAGCTTGATGCAAAAAGGCAAAGAGATTTCGGAGTTCCTTAACCACCTCGGGCAGATTAAGTGTGTTAGCGAGATGACTTTCAAACCCATTACAAATCTGTCACAGAAATCAAAGGGTTTTGTTTAGTTTTGCATATTGTAATGAAGTAAGCATAGCATTGCTTACTATCTACCCTATAAGGAAGAAACGTTCGGTTTTCAATGCTACAGTTGATGGATTTGGGGGTTTTTTTGTTTGTTTGTTTTTTAATGATCAGAAGCTACTGTCAGCAATTGTCATGGATGAAAAAAAAAAAAAAAGAAAAGAAAAAGTACAAGAAGTGTAGCCGTACAGCAATACCAAAATGCAAACACTCTCATTGCAGGGACAGTGGCTTCAATCAAGATCAACTGCAAAAGATACGTGAAAATAATCAGCCAGCAAGTGGTGCACGAGTTACTTTTACTGAGATCTACCAAAGAGTTTTACTTAAGGAATTCAAAGAATTAAGGAAAGTTATGCTACTGCCTCAGGCTTTTTTTAAAGTATTAAATCTCAACTATGAACCAAAGCAATCAGAATAAAGAATATTAGCCTTGGCTATCCAATTAGTGGGGTATTTTATAGCTAACTCTGTGTTTATGCCCTACATCAAGAAAAGGGTAGCACAAAAACAGCTTTACAAGTGCAACCGAACACGGAGCAGGAAGAGAAGGGCAGCAACAAAACTCCCAGCTACCTTTCACTGAAACTGTCAGTGCCTGCAGCTCATTTCTCTGGCAACTTTCAATCTCACCAGACACCACTTTAAACACCATGATTCATTACATATTCGTGAGATAAAGTTTTATCCCCTGTCAATGACAGGCACCAAAGTCAATTCTAACTCGATTTGTATAAAGCTTTCCTGGCAGCAAATGCAGAATCCATGACTCAGTCTCCTGCTAAACCCATAAGATCAGGAGCACATGGCCGAGTGTGCTGGAAGATCATGAAAGGAGGCAAAGAGGCGATGGAGAACAACAGAGCGATGCTGTATTTCACTTCCATGGCTTTCCAAGGGTGGGTGTGTTGCTCAGGAGCTTGCACTTCTACTTCCTTCATCCCTTTGATGTCCAAGGGCAGATTTACCGTGTCAGAAACGCACGGGTCCCTCGCTGCCCTCAGAGTGCCAGCCGGATGGCAGCCACCGCTGCCGCTTCCTGAGGGCTGCAGGAGGATGAAGGGGGATCCCAGCCCGCTGGGAACGGGCGCTTCGAGTCCCCCCTGCCATTTGTTAGGAGTTTGCATTCCCAAGTGAAGGATGCAAGTTGGAAAACGCAGTCAAGCTGCAACAAGACTTTGTCAAATCTTCTTAGCCTTGTAGGGAAGAAGTCAACGGAGCTGGTAACTGCTTAACAGAGCCCAGGCACCGAGCTGAGCCGGTGCCCAAGGCACCACGGAGGAGCCTGCCTAGGAGCCACGGGGATAGTAAAGGGGAAGGCTGCGCTGGGACCAGGCACTCAGCGCACCGAGGTGACAAAGATTGCTCAGATTGCCATGTGAGAGAAACTGGAGAAGCATTAGGGGCTGGCTGCACCTCCGAGATCATGTAACAATCAGAGAAATAAGATTTGGATCTTTAATAACTAAGCAGCATGTGTGGGAAAAGGCTTTTTAAAGTCAAGCTGCTCTTATCAAGTCTCAGCAGAGAGCCTGGTTCATTTGCTTTTAGCCCCACTGCAGAAGATGCTAAATCACTTACAATTGGGGATGCGATCTAAATCTATGTTTGGTCAGGTATATTAATTTAGATAAATACTACAGTGAACAGATTACATGCATGGAGAGCCCTTTAAAAGAGTTTATAAACAACCTTCACATCTGTGGTGCAACAATATCTGCAAGATTTTCTAATACTAAAAAGGAACTGAGTGAAAGTACATCAAGAAAATAAAATCTAAAAATATTTTCCATATAATCACTTGTGCTAGTGATTGGAGATGCCCAAGTTCCAGTGGAAATGGACGGGACTCTTGCAGCTATTAACTGGAGAGACAGAGAGAGGAAAAGACATGCTGTGAAATTCGATTTAGGAAGATTACATCAAATACTGTGTACATGGAAAGAGACAAAAAAAGAGTTACTTTGCCACAACCTTCCACATCTAGATTGGCTTCTAAATCAGACAGATCAATTTTCAAGACCAGTGAATGAAAGACTTTAGAAAGTTGATTTGTAATGCAGAAAAATAGACATTTAATTTGTTTATAACTATTTCCATTATTCCCTGCATTAGCAAATTCCAGCTCACAGCTGAATAAGAGGTAAATGAAAAAAATCACTGGATTCAACCCTCTTGGGACATGAGATTGTGAACTTTTCCAAAAAATGCAACTGAAACAAGACATGACGAAGTAGTTTAACTAAGACTGAATTTTCCAGATAAAAATAACATAGATTAGAGTAAGTCTTTTTCATCCTTCCCTAAGAAAACCATTGCCAAGACTTCCAGGGGTCTGGCAGCTTTTGGAGAAGTTCACCTAGGCAGCAGATTCAGTTCAACTTGAGAAGATTCTTGCAGCCTGGTAACCTCCAAGGCGACCTTCAGTCAAGCAGACTGCAGGTCTGCAGAGACATTTTCCTTTTGGCCAGAGGGTCCTTACCACAAATAACGGAAGCCATAAAAGAAAGGGAAAAAAAATGTTGTGCTGTAGTTCAAAGGAAAAAAAGAAGAAAGTTTTGTATCCTCTTTGACCTAACATCTGATTGGAAAATGAGATAACTGAAAGGAAGCTCCTTCTGGCCCTGACTCAGATGTTAGTGTGTGAATACAGGGGTCTGTCCTTCTAGTCATTGCAGAGGGGTAGGGTCACTTTTATAAAAGAGGGTTAAAGATACTTAGCCAAGATCTTCTCACCTATTTGTGCTGGAGGACTGTTGAAGATTAGTATTTTCAATGCCTCCCCTATTTGAGCATGAAGCTCCTGTTGGATGGTGGGGTATCTCGCTTCTCCAAAGTTTGAAGTCACAAATGACGGGAGAAAAGAATCCTCCCAATCAGAAAACAGTAATTATTAAAAAAGAAAAAACCTCTCAGATCTCAAGACAAAGTTGTATCAGAAGCTACAACTGCTGGTTCTTTTAGACTGCAGCATAGAATGCTTAAGGTTGGAAGGGACCTCTAGAGGTCATCTAGTCATTTTATTCTTTTCAATTTTCTTTTTGAAGGAGAGAAAGGGGCAGCGGCAGAACAGGCTTGCTCGCTCTGAACATCTATGTGTTCATTGCAGAAAGCGTCACTTTAATCGTGTGTCATGCACAAGGGCAGCCACAGACAGCGACACGAGGCATCCGTGCTGTTAGGAAGCCAATGGGCATGTAAGCAGCAACCTTTGTATGTCACTTCCAGTACACTTCTCTTTAAAGAAAAGGGGGGAAAGTAACGAATAATCTAAAACAAGATCAGAAAATCTCAGATGATATTACATCATAAATCATATAAATTTGAACAACTAAATTAAATGTGAACTTAGTCTATAAGATCACAAATTTTCAAAATAATGCAAAAGCTTCCTTTACTCCAGGCTCAAGCAGGGGGAGATTGAGATCAAACAGAGTAAAAGTTACGTTAATGGATACTCGTGAAAAGAGTTTATCCACCCCTGCACCACGTGCCCAGCTATTAATCACTCGGAAGCTTGGCGTTTGTGTGCAAACAGGAAAAATGGCTTGTGACTGCGAACTCGTGGGGAGCCACCGGCCCAGGGCAAACTCCCGTGCAGAAGGGGACCACCAACAAAGCTGAACGGGAAGGAGGACAAGCGGTTAAAGCCACGATGCTGGCGCAGGTTCTGCAGCACCTTTCCCCACCAGCCACCCGCACGCTGCACTTGAACGAGACTTGTCAGTGCTTGAAGCCTGGGGTTGGCACAGCACAGCGGATTCTCAGCGAAGAGGTTGCTCACAGGATGGGAATCGTTGATTATACCTGAAATGTTATGTTTTAGCCTCCAGTTAAATTATAAACCCACAAAAAAAAAAAGGGAAGAAAAAAGATGACTTTTCAACTTTACCTAATGAAATGTGCTCCTAAGTCATTTGAAAACTAAATTTTGGTGAATCACTAGGACCTAGCTGCCTAGGCCTTCACTGTTTACAAAAATACATCATGTCTCCCAAATTGCCAAAAATGCTACAGGAAGCAGGGAAAGGAGCCACCTCTGTGCCCGAGGGGCAGAGGCGCCATCCCGCACACAGCGGGGACAGGGGTCTCACCTCACAGCACTGTGTATGTTAGTGACCATGGCGGGTTTTGAAACAGGAACCTGCTCTTGCCCCTTTGCGAGCTTTATTCTGTATCTGCACCAAACGGGGGAGTCTGCCTTTTTTTTTCTTTTTTTTCTTCTTTTTTTCTAAGAACCAAGGAAAGGGGGAAACTGCCTGGAGCGGTATTTTAATACCAAGAGAAACACTCCAAGTGGAAAGAAAAACGAGCTGCGCCGGAGCGCAACGGCGCGCCCTGAACAACCGTGTGTCCGCGCGTCCTTCGCGGCCGGTGCCCGCGCGTCCTCCCCGGGCTCG